ACTCAATACCTTATTACTGCATACTGTTTTATAATGTACTACAATACTGAGGTGCAGATATAATTGCCACTATTTGCAATAAGTAGTATAGCAGAAAATCCTGCTATTTTAACAGTGTAAAAAGAATCTATAGCTATTTGCACTTAGTGTAAATTGCATATCGCTTAAAATAATACTATTTTCACTTAGTGTAAATAGCATCTATTAAAAAAGAAAATATGATATTTTCACTTAGTGTAATCTAGTAGTACTCTATTGCTACTTACACTTTACTTTATATTCCATCCAGTGTTGCCAAGTCCGCCGTTTTCCCACGGAATTGGGCTACTTTAACACTGTTGGCGCGTGTTGTTTTTCATGTCCGCGGGTTGAACCGACCCCAAATACGTTATATTTAGCCCCTGCAATGCAAATTTTACTAGGGGAACTTCGCCAAAAACGTGTATTTTACCCCCCAGAATGCGATTTTTTTATCGGGGGTCCCCCCCTCAAAACACCATTGGGCTAATTTTGGACTAGTTTTGAGTAGCAGTTGGGCGGGTTTTGTTGTGAAAACCTGGCAACCCTGATCCCATCAGATTTGGAGTGTCGATCTTGGGGTCTTCGTGACCTGAATCTAGGTTTTGGTGTATGGTCTCCGATAAGACTGCAGTCTATTTCCACTGTTCTTCAGGAGATGAAGTTGCCACCGTCCCTTCACCATTTTAGAGAGCTGGCATGACTGAATGGCTTCTTAGTTCAGAGTTAGATTCAAATAAAAAAGTTTGATCTGACCAATCAGCACTTGAAGAGGCGTATGTAAGCCACTATTTATCTCTGTCCTATACGACAGTTCTTTCGGCGTCCCTCCGCCGTTTCGGCGTCAAACCTCCTTTTCATTAAAGATTACATCTACATTTAGCAGACACTTTTGTCCAAAGTGACTTACAAATGAGGACAATGGAAGCAATGAAAATCAACAAAAGTGCAATAATATGCACTATCAATTCAGCATTTTCTGTGTTAATATAATGCTTAATCTAGTTGGTGAACCAACAGGTCAGGGGTTTATGTGGTCTTCTTTTGGCATCTCTGCATCCCAGTCCTTTCAATGACTTTAGCATGTAAAGTTGTAGTCTGCTTACTGAAGACGGGCAGCTCTGCATGATGGACCTAGTTGTTGTCTACTCGGGCTAAACAACAATCTCTTCACATCATATAGAAAATCTGACCTAAGATTAGTACATTTGTTTATTCTTCTCCGCAGGCAGATCTTAATCGTCAAGGTGCGTGGGAGCGACTGTGTTTGGAAAAAGACCCATTTATTCTGTCTGGAATCATGTGGTCCTGGCTGGAGCAGCTCAAAGAGCCAATCATCTCTGCTCATGATGTTCACACACTAACAGAGACCAGTCAGGACCCCCAAACTGTGCTCAATTGCCTAGATAGGGTAAGACAAGAGCCAATCATCTCTGCTCATGATGTTCCCACACTAACAGAGACCAGTCAGGACCCCCAAACTGTGCTCAATTGCCTAGATAGGGTAAGACTTAAAGGGTTAGTGCACCCCAAAATGAAAATTAGCTTGTGTTTTACTTACCCTCGAGTCATCCTAGGTGCATATGTCTTTCTTCTTTCAGACGAATCCAGTCGGAGTTATATTAATAATTGTCCTGGCTATTCCACGCTCTATCATTGCAGTCAGCAGGTGTTGCAGTTGTTGCCTTCCGCGTATGAAAGATAACTGAAGTGAGAGAAAAGTGTTTATTACGTTTGAAATATAAATATTTTTCTTACAAAAATGCATGGATTCACTACAGAAGACCTCTATTCACCCCCCGGAGCGGTGTGAGGCACGTTTATTATGGATGCACGCACTTTATTTGACGACTTGTGGACTGTTCAACTGTAACACCCGCTGACTGCAACGATAAGAGCTTGCAATAGCCAGGACAATTTTTAATATAACTCCGACTGGATTCGTCTGAAAGAAGAAAGACATATACACCTAGGATGCTTCGAGGGTGAGTAAAACACAGGCTAATTTTCATTTTTGGGTGAACTAACCCTTTAAGTACCAAATCTGTTCTTTTAAACTTTACTAACTTTCGATAACTTGGTTCAATATTACTAACAAGAGACATTTCATGAGTACATTTTAACTTTGTTCCATGATGTGAATCTATTATTATTACCATTTTCAGGCTTCAAGAGAAACAGTGATGTGCATTCTGGACTGTTTCGCTCATTTATTGACGACAACGGAGGAAATCGAGAGTGCTTTTCTGGAGCGAGCGACAAAAGCTTTCACAAAGGTACCGTGTCATTCTGAGATGTCCTGAATTGGTTAAATGAATACTTTTATTTACCGTGGTGCTCTCTTTAGATAAAAAACACAGATGGTGGGAAGAGTGTCCACAAAATCATAAACGGGGTCTTGAAGCTTGTTCTGCATCGTTTGAGGTTGGCTGCCATGAACGAGTTTGAGGTCTAACACATGCAACAATCACTAAACTACAGTTAACTACAAAGAGAATGAGTTCATTTACTGTACATCTTTGTCCAACATCAAAGACGAGCTCTACACATCTGCTGCTGCAGTTTCTTTGGTTGTTCCTCAGGTCTCGGTTCAGATGAGGAATCCAGCATGTGATTTAGCCCACAGATAGACTGAACTATAATTGCCCCATTTTTAGAAGTTAGAAAATGTGTTTTACATGGTGAATTGTTTGATGCAAATGAAATGCCCTACACTGTATATTATGTGCCATAGTGCTAATACTTGAAAAGCATTGCAACTGAAACCATTTTTGTACCATGTTTGTACAGTTATTTGTAATAAAATAAATAGATTGCACACAGCTAGAAATTAAATCTTCATCTTCATTTTACATTAGCATAAAGATCTGAAGGCTAACTGACTCCGAAACGATTCTTCAGAAAGTATTCAGACAAGTGTTATTTTAGTATCATTGATATACTATTATAGTTTTTGTTAATATTTTTAATTTGATTTTGTTTTGATGTTTTGTTGTTCATTTTAGTTAAAATTGTAGTATGTTGTTCTATTTATTTATTTTTAAGTAGGTATAGGCCTATAATAAGTTTTTATTACGTTTAAGTTTTTAGATTTGGTTTCTTTTTATTATTTTAACATAAAGTGAATGAAAGTGTTGCCTCGGGAAGTAAAATAAGTTTAAGCGTTTTAATATTTTATTTCAGTTACTGTTTATTTTGCAAGTAATATTTTCATGGTTTTAGTTTTAATTAACAAAACCCTCATTCAGACCATCATTTTTCACATCAGTTCACATTCCACAGCAAAAACAGATTTGTGATAATAACTTTGCTAATTTATTTTAAAAACCTGAATAAAGTGGTACTTTCTGAAAGAACAGCACATATTTTGTCTCTCTTTGGATTTGAGACTTTAGTCTCTGAAACTTTATAAATCTTCTTTATGCACCAAGAGCTTGTAACACTCCAAAGAGAAAGGAAAACTTGAAATCGCATCATATGACCCCTTTAACTATGCATAAAAACCTGTCTGTTTACTTGATTAACAGATATGGATGTCATGCCATAACATTTTTAATATGACTGAGTTTATATCTAATGTGAATGTAACATTGAAAGTTAATGTGAATAAAAACATTGTAAGTTGTTTGGCTACTAATCATAACACTTAGGCTACAGAAAGAGAGCAAAAAATCTTTACATTATCAAAGAACAACTTCACTGACAGTCTAGTTCAAGCACTTTCAAAAACTCCCATTAAAAGCACTGAAGCTGTTTACACTATGAAATCAATATCTTACAGATTCGTACACACATCTGCACTTTGTTGTTTCTGACGAGAGAATTCGCCAGAAAGAAGTATTCAGTCAGCGAGCGAGTGAAGAAAACACCGGCATTTTAGCGATGACTCATCTGAACACCTCTGATTGGTCATTGCATTCATAAACTCAACAGCATCGTGTGTTATTGATTATAACGCGTCTGTCTCTGGCTCAGCGCCAGCCAGCGAACGCAGGTTTGAATGTAGCAGCTGAAGATATGGTGCACTGAGCGTTCTAATCACGCCGGTGTGATTGTATTAAATACAGAAAATATTAATCGGCTATTTTTTGTCTTTTGGAAGCTGCATTCAAAATCCACTTGGCTCAAAAAATCTGAGGGGGCACTTTGAATGGGCATGACGCCTCTGAGTAACACAATATGTGCTCTGTTGTTGTGAAATTATATGTAGAAACAATACAAACTTTAGAGTCACAGATTTCATCTGACCAGCATTTATCCAATTTTGTAAGACTGTCTTTTTACAAATTTTGATAAGGAGCTTTTTTTAAACTACAGCTATAAACAGTTAAACAATATCTGATCATAATAACGTTACATAATAATACAGATATTTTTACTATTTCTCTACAAAGGATTTTAGAACTTTATGATCCGATATTTAGCCATTATGTGAAAGCTAGATAGTTAATGTAATAAACTGCTCTCTTGGCAAAATGTGGTAGAATTTACCATAACTAAGACTTCTTTAAACATTGTTTTCTCAAATCTACTGGCACTCGAGAGACTGCCGTGCATTAACTGGTTATGCCAGTAGGTGGAGTGATTGCGAAAGGTTTTGGAGAATTGATGAACAATACTGCTAAGTAAACTGCTATAAATGAAAGAATGAGTTTTTAAAGAGAATAAACCGACAGACATCTGACTCTCAGGCCTTTTCTAAAATCTACAGTCATTACTGAAGCACCTGCAGTATAGACTTCTAGCACTCCTAAACCACATCAAAATACGCCTGATTTATGCCTGTTTATTCCCTGATAGTTTATCATCAATATGACCATGCCATAAAAAACGCCACCTTTATCTGCACCCTTAACTGTAATTTACAGTAGTATATCTTACGGAAAACTAACACAAATTTAACTAAAAACAACAACAACAACAGGTTTCGATACAGTCCTGCTTATATAGTCTACATTTTTATGCCTACTTTGAATGCAAGTGTTTCTTTTACAATCACTTCTAAATTCAACTTAAAACAATTCATATTGATTCACTGATTCTGTTATGTTGAGACGTAAGTGCTTTAGATTATGACTGCTATCTGACGGGATGTGTCAGATGGTTTGTTTTTATTAATAGCGGTATTTATGGATCTGAATGAAAGCAGACACACGACTTCTGTGATGCATATGAGACTGTATGGGTGGGCTCAGCAGCCCTCAGGAACACGCCCAGATATATAAAGTAGAGGAGGAGGATGAAGGGGTCAGATCTGCTCTACCTGTGCCGCTATGCGCGCTCGACACGAGCTGGACACACCTTGACGGTGGAGCTACATGTGTCCTTGTTGGAAATCCAGGCTATTTCAAACGGACTTTAGGCCTATTTAATTGCTGATAGACTGACTATTCAACCTGAAGGCTCAGTTTCTCGTTACCTTTGAGCGAAACGAGACAGGACCATCATGAGCAGAAGAACACGCCGCTGGATATTTCACATGTTCCTATGTCTCGGAATAATCTACTTGAAAATGGGGTGAGCTGATTGGGAAAATGTATTGTACAGTATATCATATCATAATGTTGTCTATTCTGCATTAGACGAACTTTCTTTGCTGCTCTGTACAGCATATTTGTCTACTTTTCCAGTTGCAACAAGTTATTTTTTATTTCTTATTAAATCAATATATTTTACAACAATATTGCGACAAAGTAAAAGAAGTTGTGGTAAGATTTCACGTAAAGCCTTTATGCATTATGAAAGTAGTTTTGCCTTGTAATGCACCTTATAATGCATTGTACAATCTCATGAATAGTTGTAACCACAGTTAATACATTATAACACTTATCAGTTCATTGTTACACTATGCATTTTATAATGATTTACGACCATATATAATGTAGGCTACTACAACGCACATTAGCTATGAGTAATTATAATGCATTAATAACCCTTAATAATGCATTATACTTAAAGGCTTTAAGTAAACTGCCACCGAAATTGTTGTTATTCAGTGGTAGGGAAAATCTTTTTTTTTTTTTAAAGTAATGATGCTATCCAAAGACATTAAAGGGTCTGCTGCGCAGGAATCTTTGGAAACTCCAGCCAGTGGACGCCTTCGGAAATTATCTCTTTATCAATATGTGACTCTGGAGCATAAAACCAGCAAAAAAAAAAAAAAAAAAATATATATATATCGCTCAGAGAAAATCGCCTCAAAAGTTGTCCGAATAAAGTTCTTTTTTTGTTTTTGCTTTTTATGTGTTTACAGTAGGAAATTTACTAAATATCTTCATGGAACATGATCTTTACTTAATATCATAATGATTTTTGGCATAAAATAAAAATCGACCATTTTGACCCATAGCCTACAATGTCCCCGTGCTACTTAAGGCTGGTTTCGTGCTCCAGGGTCACATATGTGTTTGATGTTAAATATGAAGACGCTCTTCTCTGATCAACTTTAGGCGATTCTCCACCGTGCTGGCGCTGGGAGCGAGCATCATATGCAGCAAGATCCCGGGACTGGCGCCCAGGCAGCGCATCATCTGTCAGAGCCGGCCGGACGCGCTCATCGTGATCGGACAGGGCGCGCAGATGGGCATCAACGAGTGCCAGTTCCAGTTCAAGCACGGCCGCTGGAACTGCTCCGCGCTCGGCGAGAGGACCGTCTTCGGAAAAGAGCTGAGAGTGGGTATGTTGGAAATCTCCTCTCGTATGTCTAAAACAGCATTTGGGTTTATCTGGTATAAGAGTATAGGAGTGTTTACTAATCTGGTTACGGATTATACAGTTTGTTTAATTTTGGGTAAAACAGTTACCTTCTTTACTAGTCCAAGTTCATAGGCTACGTTATAAAGATCGACCTGTTCGAGTTAAGATTTCCGCGCTGCATGCCTGAAATGTCTGGCAGATGAGATACATGAGCGTGTTTCTTACCTGCGGTCATACACGCGCTCCAAAGCATCTCAGAAACCAGTCATTAAAGATGGCCAAATCAAAAGAAGCTCAAATAAATGTACAGGTTCTTCAGAGCCTCCTACCCGATCTCATGAAAGTGCGCATCAGTAGCACGAGTTCTGTTTCTATGTGGCGTGCTATTTATACGCAGAAATCGACTTTGGCGTGCATATGATAAGCAATGGTTAGGATTAGGGGTGTGGGGTAGGTGCGTATTATATTTACGCCAAAACTGCGTGTCATATGCACGCCAACAAATTGCGTATCTTATGGACGCGAAAATTGCGTATTATATGCACGCCAAACACATGCGTATCATATGCACGCCAAAGTCAATTTCTGCGTATAATAGAATGCCAAATAGAAACAGAAAATCGTGCTATTGGTATGCATTTTCATTGGAGAGCCATTTTAGTAATGTTAATGTTAAATGGAAACTTATTGTAAAGTGTTAATGGCAGTGTTGGGAGTAACCTAACGCATTACAAGTAACGTGAGTTGCAGAGTCAGATTACTTTTTTCAAGTAACTAGTAAAGTAACGCATTACTTTTTCATTAACAAGAAAATATCTGAGTTACTTTAATAACTCAAATAAGTAACGCCAGTTACTTTGTTTCCCATGTATTGAGTGACAGCTCCAGTGTTGCCATGGCGACAGAAATCAGGAGTGAGTGCAGAGCGTTGTGTGTTGACATGATCTTACTGTAGTTCTAGACTAAATATGAACATGTATTTACTCATGTCACCTGGATAAAACAGATTCAGTATTTTTCGAAATGAATAAAACAGTAAAAATGCAAACTCAAAATATGCAATATTTAATTAAATCAAACCAGCAGTAATTAAAAAGCAATATTTAATTATGTTAAATAACACAAATATTCTTTATGAATTTAATCCCATTTTATTAACCAATGTCTTTGCTACTGACCTTGATCCAACTGATCCAATTCAACCATGCAAAGAAGCAAAAATGACTTTAGATAAACATAACATTTGTGGGGTTTGTGTGTGTGTGTGTGTGTTTTTATTGCTGATCGAAGAGTGTTGAGCTTTCTTTACTTCAGACTGATGCTCATTCATTTCACTTTTGGTGTTAAGGGGCTTTTACGTTTGCCAAAAATGGATTTTTTTTTAATTAAAAACAAACAATCAAGCCCAGCCCAGATTTAAAAAGTAACGCAAAAGTTTGCAACTTATTTGGATTTGTTATGTGCGTTTGACCCCAAATAAAGCAGCACTATTATATTGGATCACAGCCACATTTCTGAATACTGCATGTCTACCCAACACATTACGTGTTGGTCTACCCGCCGGGTGATACAAGAGAGGGTTAAAGGGCAACACTATACAATAAAATCTCATTAGTTAACTTTAGTTAATGCTTTACCTAACATTAACTAACAATGGACAATACATTTGTTACAGTATGTATTAAGTTTTCTTAATGCAAGTTAATAGCAGTACAGCTGTTCATTGTTAGTTCATGTTAGCACAGGTCCATTAAATAGTATTAACAGATATACTTTTTAATTTTCATAGTTTACATTAACATTTACATTAGTAAATGTTGAAATTACCAGTAACTAAGATTAATAAAAGCTGTGGAAGTATTCTTCATCATTAGTTCATGTTTGGTGATTTAGTAATGTTAATGTTAAATGGAAACTTATTGTAAAGTGTTAATGGCAGTGTTGGGGGTAACCTAACGCATTACAAGTAACGTGAGTTGCAGAGTCAGATTACTTTTTTCAAGTAACTAGTAAAGTAACGCATTACTTTTTCATTAACAAGAAAATATCTGAGTTACTTTAATAACTCAAATAAGTAACGCCAGTTACTTTGTTTCCCATGTATTGAGTGACAGCTCCAGTGTTGCCATGGCGACAGAAATCAGGAGTGAGTGCAGAGCGTTGTGTGTTGACATGATCTTACTGTAGTTCTAGACTAAATATGAACATGTATTTACTCATGTCACCTGGATAAAACAGATTCAGTATTTTTCGAAATGAATAAAACAGTAAAAATGCAAACTCAAAATATGCAATATTTAATTAAATCAAACCAGCAGTAATTAAAAAGCAATATTTAATTATGTTAAATAACACAAATATTCTTTATGAATTTAATCCCATTTTATTAACCAATGTCTTTGCTACTGACCTTGATCCAACTGATCCAATTCAACCATGCAAAGAAGCAAAAATGACTTTAGATAAACATAACATTTGTGGGGTTTGTGTGTGTGTGTGTGTGTTTTTATTGCTGATCGAAGAGTGTTGAGCTTTCTTTACTTCAGCCTGATGCTCATTCATTGCACTTTTGGTGTTAGGGGGCTTTTACGTTTGCCAAAAATAGAATTTTTTTATATTAAAAACAAACAATCAAGCCCTGCCCAGATTTAAAAAGTAACGCAAAAACTAGTTACTTTTTTAGGGAGTAACATGATATTGTCATGCATTACTTTTAAAAGTAACTTTCCCCAACACTGGTTAATGGTTAAAGTTGAAATAATATATAATTATAGAACAGACAGTCTCAACAAATCACATTTTTGAATATACGTTTGTCTATAGTGTTATCGTGGACGGCAGCTCTAATTTACAGTTTGGGTTAATTGTTATCCATCTGCCGATTATGCAAATACAGCCGTGTTTGTCAGTGATTTATGGAGAAGGAATAAGTGATAACCTCAGGAAGTTCATGTGTTCAGGAGTTCATCTGTTTCTTGACAACATGAAGTAGATCAGTAGCTTTTTCTTTTGAGCTCATTCATAGAGCATCACTTGTTTGCCGAGGTCTTTTTTGCCTAATTTAATGTAATTAATATTCTCTGTCTGTAATGCATTCAAAATACAAATCTTAATTTTTAAAAAGTACACACTTATTATACTGACTAAAAATCGTCTGCACATAACTATTTTGTAAACACATATGCACTAGTGGTCAAAGAGATTTGGACATCAATCTGAAGTGATGCATGTCAGCAGTTCATTTGTTCAATGTACTTTATTTTTACATTTGTATTTTGAGTTTCTAACCACATTAAATTCCACATTAATGCAGATATTGGATGCTTTAGTTAAAGCATTTGATTTTTGGCCATGCAAAGTTGCTACACATTCAATGCTTATCTCTAAAAAGCCGTGATTGTTGTAATATACAGTGCTATGATGTTATAAAGTCGGTGTTCTCTCTCGGTGTTCACAGGCAGTAAAGAGGCTGCGTTCACGTACGCCATCATCGCAGCAGGAGTGGCTCATGCCGTCACAGCCGCCTGCACGCAGGGAAACCTCAGCGACTGCAGCTGTGACAAAGACAAGCAGGGCTTCCACGGTCACTCCGACGGCTGGAAATGGGGCGGCTGCTCGGCAGACATCCACCACGGCCTGGGCTTCTCCAAAGTCTTTATGGACGCCAGAGAGATCAAACACAGCGCCAGGACGCTTATGAATCTGCATAACAACGAAGTAGGGCGAAAGGTGTGTATCTGGTTATACAAGCGGAGGCTTGGCTTTGTATGTCTCTTGTAAATAAAAACTGTCAGACATTATTCAGTTTCGAGGGCTTCGATTTTACGAGGTGGCAATTTTTAGAAAAACAGTAAGCATGAAAGTCCACCCCTAATCCCACATTTAAAGATAATGACTTAAATGAATTGGCCACAAATCCACCAAAACATGAAAAAGTTACAAACTGCCATATTGGCTGACCCAAAAATGAAAAATGTACTCACTCTTGTCTTGTATGACTTACTTTCTTCTGTGAAACACATGTTCATGCTGTTCTTTTACATGCAACAAAAGCATGCAGTGACTAGTGACCAAAAAGGAAAGAAAACAATTTGCCTACTTATACTATGCCCTGAAAGCATGTACTGTTTTGGTGAAGAAAAAGTACATACTTTTAAGTGTGTATGTCCCAAAGTAGGCAAGCTTTGGGACATACAGTGGTGGCCAAAATTGTTAGAACACTTGGCATATTTAAGAGGTTTCAGTTGTTTTTGTTGAATTGGCCATTACAATACCCATAAAACGAAGTATTAGCGGATCTACCTGTGATGGAAGGAATCTGCTGCAACATTGAAAACGATGGACTGGCTTCTCAAAGTCCAGACCTCAACCCCATCGAGCTTTCATCTGATATACAGTATGTTGTGCTCAGAGCAACCATCTGCATGTTTCATGAACATTATGAAATGAAATAATGTTTTGGAGGCATAAAAAGTCAATTCAGATCTGTCAGCTGTTCTAACAATTTTGGCCACCACTGTACTATCATGTCACACAATTGCATCTCTGACAAATAGTTACCTGTAACCTGGCCTGTCAATCATCTTGTCACAGTTAACATCCACATTTCATTTCATTTAACTTTACTGTATTGGAGAGAAAAGAAGTAGCACGTTGATTTGCCAAAGGCCGAGAACTCTGCTCACATTAATGCATAATGATGCATTTGAAAGGTACTGACCAAACGGATGTTTATAAAAGTTCACATTGTTGTTGCAGATGAAATATAACGGATAACATTAAATACCAGGCTTTTACCAGGTCAAATATGGATTATTAGTAACTCAAACCCCTTTATCTAAACCTAACTACTTAATCAGTCGCGAACATCTGCCATGTTTATAGTTTTTAAACACTTTTTATTCATGTTTGTAGTTCTGAACTGAATCCTTTGCCAAAGTGCAATGGGTTGTGGGCAATATTATCCGTTAGAATTTGCACAGATGCACACTTTGAAAATCTACCGGAAATAGGGTATATTCTTTTCAACATGCTACGCTTTTTATTCTAATCTCACATGCTATTTAGGATGGATAGTATGCACATTGAGACGCAGGGACAGTTATTTTTACAGCTGACCTTATTGCGGCTTATTGACCAGTTTTGGTGTTTGCAAACAGTAATGACGTTTTTTGTGGGCGGAGCCTACCTGGTGGCAGAAAATGACAGTGTTCAAGTAGCAGTCTATGGAAGCCATGGAATTAAAGAATAAAAAAAGGTACATATGAGTTTATATTTCAAAATCATGGCTTTATTCTCGCAATTCCAAGATTATATCTCACAATTCTGATAAGGAAAAATAACTTGTCATTCTCTTTTTTCCCCTCGGCTAAGAATCACGAGTTTATATCCCACAATTCTGGCTTTTTTATTTTTCCTCAGAATTGACAAACTCGCTATTGTTGAGTTAAATCGAGTCATAAAGTCCGAACTAGGAGATAAAACTTGCATTTGTGAGAAACATATTCAGAATTGTGAGATAAAATAGGTAACTGTTATGTAAAATGTTATAGGTTTAAGTAGTATTTCATGCTGTAACTGTAGGCTATGAACTGCATATGTGAATATTACGTAGACCTACACTGTTAAAAAAATTCCGTAAAATTTACGGTAAAAAACTGGCAGCTGTGGTTGCCGGAATTTTACGGAAAAAAATACGGTAGCAACATTTTAGGTTTTATGGTTTTAACTTAAATATACAGTTAAATACCGTAATTTCATTAACTGATATAATGTTAATATACCAACCTACTGAAGTACTGAAATCTGTTTTGTACCTTTGTAATACACTGATAACCACCAAATGCAGGTGGTGATGAGAAAGTCACGTGATGAACCAAAGCCCATCACAAGCAGCTTTTAAATAATAACATGTATAGAAGGTAGGGGTGTAACGGTACACAAATATGATGGTTCGGTACGTACCTCGGTTTTAACGTCACGGTTCGGTATGATTTCGGTACAGCAGGTGGAAACAATTT